TCAAGGTTTTATGATTCATGGAACTCGACGAGTTGATGGAACAACTTGGCGAGTTGAGTCAAACAGATGTTGACTTTGACCAAGTTGACCCTTAAATGGTTATGAGTATGAAAAGGGTAATTAAAGGAAGTGTTTATATGTAGGAGTCTGAGAGCGGTCGATTTCATAGTAGGAGCCTTTACAACTATTTCTTAGTTTTCGAGGTAAGTTACCTTCCAGTAGGAGTGGGTCGAAGGCACCAATATCGGCCCACTATAGTTGAGATGATTGTCTTTGTGATAACTGTCTGGTGTGCCACTATCTGTTATATTTTATGTGCTAGTATGTTATGAAATTATGCAATAGTGGTAGGAAGGATAGGATAGACCTTGTTACCGATTGAAAGAGACCGAAGGGAAGGCCAGCACCCATATATGCTAAGTAGTATGTGATATATATGTATGTACTAGAGTATTATGTGGTAGAGGTAGGGGTGAAATAGTCCCCGGTTACCGGTTGAAAGAGACCGAAGGGGTAGGCCAACACCCAAATATGTTAGGCAGTTACCGGTTGAAAGAGATCAAAGGTGTAGGCCAACACCCATATATGCTAGGTAGTTACCGGTTAAAATAGACCGAAGGGGTAGGCCATCACCCAGATATGTTAGGTAGTATATTTATTGTATGGTATGTGGTATGATGGGGGAACTCACTAAGCTTTGTGCTTATAGTTTTCAATTTTGGTTTCAGATAATTCTTCTTCGAAAGGAAAGGATTCGGCATGACTGTAGCACATCACACCATTATTTTCCGCACTATGATGTTCTTGGGATTTGTACTCTAACATTATTATGATTTGTTTCAGGATATATGACTTATGGTTTTTATGATATTAGATAACACAATGATGTTTTGAATAATCTGTTTTATGAATTATTAAATTAAAAATGAAATTTTTGGTCGTGGATTTTGGGATGTTACATAATGATAACAAACAGTTGTTAATTTCTTGAACAACTTCATTTTTTGTGCAAGGATTGCTCTTTCTTGAAAAAAAAAATTGAATTCTTGTCATTTTGAAGAAGACAAGGATAGGAAAATTCAATTGATGAACCAACAAAGATCATCTAAGATATCAATAATTATCTCGTCGTCATTTAAAGTAAACCACTAACCTTCCCTTTCTCATATATCCAAAAATCATTTTGCAAATGTCGTTGTTTCTTCTATATCAAATGTTTAAACACTTAACATAATGCTTTTCTTTAATCTTAGGACTTTGCATTTTGACCAATGTAGGAGAAACTTAATGAAGAATTCACAATCTCTTTACTACTTCCATTAAGAACAACATGTAGAGTATGTCTGAAATCACCTCCAAAACAATTGATTTTCCTCTAAATGGCTATTATGAATTGATACGAAGATCACAACTCAATATATCCTTCAAAGATATATCTAACTCTTCAAATGCATATTTATGAATCATAGGTGCATCATCATAAAGTTACAAATATTATTTTTATAAAATATTTGATTTTTTTTTTCATATATTTGTCATCATTATTTTTAATTAATATGTAAAATGATTTTAAAACATCAACAATATGATTCAACTCAAGATTAATGATAAAATCATCATACTATACAATAAAATATAAATTTTAATATCCAGAAAAAAAAAAAGAAAAAAAAAAAAAAAAAAAAAAAAAACTAAATCAACCATACATAGTAATATAATTATTTTATTTAAAATATTTATAGTGAAATATTTTTGTTTGCTAATAACTTCTATTGTTTTATTAAACTCAATAAGATCTTAAAACAAATTTTATTTAAAAAATAAAAAAACAAAACACAAAAAAATCTAAGATAAATATCAAGATAAAAAAGTATATTGGTTTATTCAACCAAAAACCAAAAACTTGTGATGAATACAAGCTAGATGAGCATATTATTGGTATCATTATCAAAAGTTTTCGTTAAAGATTTTTTATCATTTTTAAGATATATTTAAAGTATGTTTTAGTATTACAAACTACATAATATAGATTTGAATTGAAATTCATCTTATAAATGGGTTTGTAAATTTCATTACTGATACGTTTTTTTTATTAAATTATAATCTTTAATTGATAATATCTAATTTTAATAAAATAACAATTTCAACGTTTAAAGCATTACAAACATTAAAAATTACAATTATTGCTATTATCGTAAATTTGCATTTCAGTTTATTTGTTAGATGTTTAAAGGGATAAATTAATAGTTTTAAAAAGGGTAAGCAGCACAAAAAACATTATTTTTACACAGAAATTTGATTTTGACACCGAGTTATTTTTTGTGTCAATTTTGATACTATGTTTTCCAATTTGTTACAATTCTGACCACTTGACCGGTTAACCAGGTTGTTGATGTGGCATGATGACGTGTTAGTTTTAATGACGTGGCATGCTGACATGATATGCTGACGTGCCAAAATTGATTTTTTTTCCACAAAAAACACTAAGTTTTTACTTTTTTTCGATTTTGACACTAAGTTTAATTTTTATTTCAATTTTGACACTATGTTTTTTTTGTTTCAATCGAACATTATTTATCAAATTTTGTTCAATTTTGTCTATTTTTCATTTGAAACCGTATAAATATATTTTTTTATTACATTTTAAACCTTATAAACATATTTTTTTTCTTTTAAAACACATTTTTATTGAAATACAAAATGTTTTTTTTCTTACATTCAAAGCATTAGTTATATCATGAGAATCAAACTAAACATAAACTTCTAATAAGATGTAAAAATTTGATGGGTTGCAAACTTGATATTTGAGTTTTGATCGACTACACGCCTCCAAACCTCCAAACACATTTTAAAGTTGTATATTTAGTATAAAATACAATATATATATATATATATATATATATATATATATATATATATATATATATATATATATATATATATATATATATATATATATATATGGAAACGGCAAATCTAATCTAGTCTTAAATTACACCTTAAACCCACCTATGTCCAGGACGGAACTTGAACCCTCAACCTCAAGGAGGGAGGGCAACACCGGGTACCGCTGTGCGAAAGCCCTTTGGTAACTAATATATATTTATATATAAAAATATGGTTTGAGTGTAAAAAAATGTATTTATACAAAATTATGGTTTTTAAATGAAAAAAAAAAAAATTATACGGTTTCAAATAGAAAATTGTCAACATTGAACAAAATTGGAAAAAATGATGTTCGATTTAAGAATTTTCACATAATGAGGGTTCAAAGTTAAGAATTTTCACATAAAATGCCACTTTTACACTTATTAGGATTAAGTTGACACAAAAAAATATGTTTGGGGAAACTATGCAAGAATATAAAATCCAGTTTATAATCTCAACAACCAAACATTCAAGTTGTTGAATATATTTGGGGAAATAAACTCCATTAAATAAAACAAAGGCAAATTAAACAAAGACATCAAAATGATGCTATTACAGCAAAAAAACAATAGTCAACAAGAACCTACAAACCACAACAATAAATACACTACCTTGTTCTTGATTTATCTGTGGATGTTTTTTCTTTGAGGTATTTCATCGAACACTTGGTGTTCATAAAAAAATCTATAAGCTATCACAAACTTGAATGTCTCAAATGGATAACAATAAATACTTCTAACAAAAGTACATACATTCTACTTATTAATATACTTCATGTCTTCGACAGTTTGCTAAATCGTGTATACAATATATTGCATCAGAATATGTTGAAATCAAATATCGACAATTTGCCAAATAGTTGATAATTAAGATCAGTTAGTATTTGGTGAATCTAATGAGAGAGAGAGAGAGAGAGAGAGAAAGAAAGAAAGAAAGAAAGAAAAAGGCATTGATAGTACCTTCAAAAGGATCAGATTGATGAGTTTAAGCATTGCATTTCTGGAATGAGTATCAAGAACAGGTGAAATAGAGTGGGAAGAAGAAAAGCACAAGGTGAGGTCACTGGTGGAGAGGCATAGTAGGAGAAGGCGATGTTGGGAGGAGGGTAGCATCGGAGTGGGTGGTGCTGGTTCTATGCTTGAAGATGCAAAGCATAGACAATCGTTAGCTTAAATTACACATAAGCCTTCTGTTCAGTAAAACTCAAATGATGCGCTTTTTTTCTGTGTGGTCCAAATTGTTCTAAAATGTTCTCAAAATAAGAAATTATTCTCATTTGAACACACACAAACACACACACACACATACACACACACACACACACACACACACATATATATATATATATATATATATATATATGTATGTATATATGCATGCTACGCAGTATTGTGTATAATGAATTTGATTTCATTTTAAATTATTGTAATTAATTCTCATCATCACAATACAACTAACTATCCTTCATATATATATATATATATATATATATATATATATATATATATATATATATATATATATATATATATATATAGGGTAAAGTAAATATACCTAACAACCTTATATAAGCTTAGGTACCTAACCACATTATACTACATTGTTTTGCATTATATTTCCATTGCAATCGTCTAAGGTTCTTAAACTTCAACCCTTAACTTGATTTACTTCAAAGATTTTTAGACATTCATCATTATATTCTTCCTACACCATTTGATTTGTAATGGTAGTATATGAAGCCCACCAGGGGGTCTTCGATATAAAGATGTCATTTGAAGGAAGATAATGGTAAAAGGCCAAAGATTTTGGAAGCAATCAAGTTATGAGGTTGAATTTTAAGAACTTTGGGTGATTAAAATGCAAATATGATACAAAATTACGTAGTGTGATGTGGTTAGGTACCTAAACTTATATAAGGTTGTTAGGTATATTCACTTTACCCATATATATATATATATATATATATATATATATATATATATATATATATATATATATAACTTTATCTCTATAATATTATTAAACATATTGTCTATTTCTTGAAAATTAAGAGGTATAATTCTTATAACACGATGTACAATCCTATTAAGCTTACAATGTAAGCATATACACACGCGTGTCATCATAACTTATGGTTTCTCCTCTGTCTAGATGTTGGAAAACCGTAATATCTTTCATCAGCCGTCATTTCTCTTAGATATCTTCCGTCTCCGTCCTTATTCTCTTCAATCTCTGTTAGCCTCAGTTACCACCAACCTCCTGACGCTGCCATTACCTTCACCGGCATCTGTTGTGCATTTATACCTTATGTCGAGATGAGAAACGCTAACTCTATCTCGCTGCCACCATCAACGCCACCATCACACGCCGGAAACCATAACCCTAAAGTGGCTCCACCATCGGCACCATACATCTCACAGTATAAACCAGATCGAGGTGGGTTATTCAAGAGTTTCTTTATGCTCTTACTTTGTGTATGTTAACATGTTTTTTTGATTTCACGTGCTAGGGATCAAATACATGTGTGATTTCTGTTTTTTTTTCTTAAGAAAGATTTATAACATGTATGATTTACTAATAGTCGCGAAAATCTGCTGCAAAACTTCCGTAGAATGTCTTACGATCTACCATTGGTGTTAGTTCTTACTGCGTTAACTTTTTAACAGGTCATACTTCTTCTTTTTTATGTTTTTTTTGTTTCTAATATCTCTGGAAATATTGAACAAACTAGCCATTTGATGCTCATCTTGGTCTTTCTAAACGTATCCCCTTTCATATCGTTGATTTTTCTTGAAATTTTGTAGATCATTTGTTTCCAGGTCTGTTCAATGTCTTCCATGAGCTTTAGTTTCAATTTTATAATCTACAGGAATGACATTGAGTCTCTCTATAACTGTGTGTTTGTTTTTTTGTTTATACAGGTCCTGACTTTGGTGTTTGTTTCTTTGACCTCCCATGAATAACGTAGACAAAGACACTCAGGTGTTTGCACCTTGGAACCCTCCAATTAAAATGTTGAGGTATTGGATTATTGGAATTGTACCGGATAAAAAAAACTCCCCGTATTACTAAGTTTATTTGTTTATTTTTCTTTCAAATCTCATCTATTTTTCTTTGTTGTTTGAAAATTGATTTTAAGATCTAGATGAAGATGAAACTAAAGGGAACGAAAAGGGGTTTGAATAAGGATTATCAAATTGCATCATGTAGAAGCTATTACTTATCCATGTTTACATATGTTTCTTCTGGGTTTTTCGGTTTATAGTAATAAAACCAATTTTCAAGAATGTATTTTTAGTATATAATAGTTCTTATGGACCTTTTGACTTTTGTTGCAGGTTCCTTGGAGACAATGGTCATGGTGTGAGTTTGAGTCCTTAAACTATAAGCATGAATAGATATGGTACGAGAACAACTTCGATTTTTCCTTTTTAATATTGTTTAAATTTTGTTTTGGGGTTTTCTTATAAGAACATGAACAGTTTTGGATTTTTCTTTGCATGTTTGAATTTTTCTGTACAAAATTAGGTATTTCTTTACTGATATGCAACTACGAGGCATAATGTAATCAGGTATAAATATTTTTGTTTCATTTATATTTTGTAGTCTAAGATCAACTTTGTCCTGTGGAAAAATAGGTTCATTTTATGTTCAGATCTGTTTTATGTTAATCATTAGGTGTAGATATGTTTAAAATTAATTGTTTGTGTTGGTTTAACCTTTATATAGATATATACATATCCTTATATACCAATTTGATTCAATAACAGGCCAACACAAAACATTTATGTATACCCTTATTGTTATATATCAATTTGATGCAAGTTGGTTCGTGGTACTTCAACAGGTCCAAATTAATTGGTCTTCAGAATTTGGGTTTCGAAATCCAAATGTAATAGCAAAATTGATTTGGGTATGTAAGACTGTAGTGGGTGCTAAAAGGTATGATAAATACTTTAAAGACTAATTTTAGATATTATAATGTATTTTGATTTTGGGTATTCCTGTTTGTTGAAGTTGTATAGTCTTTTACAAGAAGATAACTTATGTTCATGGAGAATAAAACAACATATCATAATGAAAATGGTGGTGACGACATTCAAAGTGCATATAGTTATGAATGAGTCAATGTAAAATCAACCAACTCTGTTATTGGATTCGATAACAAGAAGAGAGGTAATATTGGTTATATATATGATTCGTAAAAGTCATTTTAAAATGATGACCCGGTTTTTATTGTTGGGTAGTTTGGTAGGATATTTAATATTTATCTCTCTCCCAAAAGAATTTGAAGAAATATTACTTTAATCTTTCAAACATTTATTTGCGATTCATGGTAATTTGAATGTACTTAAATAGAATTACTTTAATCTTTCAAACAGAAAACAACTAGAATCGAATGCAAGAGCCGAGTACAAGAAATAAGATATTACTTTTGGCTAATCGCAAGGATTAGCGAGGTACTTTCATTTTATTATTTTTTATAGCATATTAATTTCGTTTTATGTTTTTTTTATCTAATTACAAGAAATAGCAACAAACTTTTGGGTAATTGCAATAAAAATATTTCCATACTACTTGGAATCATGACAAATAAATTGCGGCAAAATCAAAACCTTTGGAAGTTCCCTGAAAAGTTTGTTCCTATATCTACCATCTTAAGCTATTGCAACAACAACCAAGTAAGTGAGTAACAAACTAACAACATCTATAAACTTCTTAAACTAGTATTTTCTTATGTTGGAACAGAATAGCAACAATAGCACCCAAGTAACAGCAGGTCAACAAGAACAACAACAAAGTTAGTATAGTGCTATTTTTGAGTTTTGGCATCCAGGTACTAGCATCAACAATTATTTTTTCTTAGATGAGGAATAAATGTGGGAAATAACATTGTACTTTCATCTTCAATCTAAGTTAGTTGTTATTGGCTTTGTCCTTTTATTGTTCTTGGTTAGTTAGTTAGTAGTTGGGTAGAAGGTGGGTTATTGGTTAGTTTGTTTGTAGTTGTTATTGACTTTGCCAAGGATTCATGTAAGTTCATCCTAGATGACATGTTCCTGTTCAAGCTGAAGAGAAAACAATTTCCAATTCGATTATGTTTCGCGATGACAATCAATAAATCGCAACGAAAAACAATGCCAAATGTTGGAATTTATCTTCTAGAATCGGTTTTTTCGCATGGCTAACTTTACGTGGCATTATCCAGATAGATATCGCATGACAATACAAAAGTATTAGTGACTCCTGACGTACAATTCAACGACAGTAAAATCTATACATCAAATGTAGTGTATACAGAAGTGTTGCACGATTAATAATACATAATCAATCATGTATTCATGTGCATTTGTAATGAATCGAAACTTTTCATTTTTAATTGTTACTGATTTTGTTTATGCTAGCATGACTCCTATTGATAATCGTTTATATGTAGTAAATTGTTTCCACAAAAGAACTAATCATGTCTACAAATTAATTTCCGAAAAAAATCGCACCCTGCGAATTACAAGAATTTAAAATGAAATCAAATTCATTATCCACAATACGGCGTAGCAGTAGGTTTGTGGGAAGCCAACGAACTACTTTCCTTAGGTGTTTCCTTTTGCGTTTAAACTTTAATTCGTTCTATATAAGGTAAAGCTAATTAATTGATTAATAAGTATATATGTGTTTTTTGCATGTGAAAGTAAGAGTTGTAATCTTTATTTATTTAGTTTTATTTTTTTTGGCATTTAATGAGAAGAGGCAACTGCGCAAGGTGTTATGAATGTTGCTCGGCCACAACCAGCAATCCCGACCTTCCTATGGTTACAGCTCTAAATCTTATTACTCATCATGACCCGTTTTGATGACATCCGCTCTCAGAAAGCCCATAAGATAGATGGTCTAGGGCGGGAAGTGACTTACGCGGCGCATCCAGGTGTGTTGCCACCGACAACCCAAAACCTTAGGGTGCGTTTAGTTGCGGAAAAATTGGCCGTTTTTCGGAAAAATTTTCCAAGAAAAATAAGAATTTTGAAAACACGTTTAGTTCGTCTATTTTTCTAAATTTTTCACGGAAAATGAAAATTTTCCGTTTTCTAAAATTACAAAGAAGTTGGAAAATTTTGGAAAACTGATAATCATTGTTTTCCATATGTTTCTAATTCCAAAATTTTTCTATAAACACACACCCACTTCACCCCATCCACTTCTACCTACCCCCACCTTAACACCCCCCACCCACACACACATACATACCCATCCACACACACACACCCGCACACACACACACACACACCAACCCACAAACACACACACATACATACCCACTCACACACACACACCCCAACCCACACACACACATACATACCCACACACACACACACCAACACACACACACACCCACAAACACACACACTTACACATACATACCCACACACACACCCACCCGCACACACACACACCAACCCACACACACACATACATACCCATCCACACACACACCCACAAACACACACATACATACCCACCCACCAACATACACACACACACACCAACCCACACACACACCAACCCACAAACACACACACACATACATACCCACCCATACACACACACACCCACACACACACACCAACCCACACACACATACATACCCACACACCCACACCTACCCCCACCCCCACCCTCACAGACACACACACCCACACACACACACAAACCTACACCTACCCCCACAAACACACATACACACACAAACACACACTCGCACCCCCACCCACCCAACACCACCACAACAATCACCGACCTACCATCACCACCACCACCACTAACCTGTCACTAGCACCACCACCATCACCACCATTGACAAAATTGACGCCGCCACCACGATCGACAAAATTGACGCCGCCACCACCATCGCCTGTCATTACCACCACCGCCGCCGACCCACTACCGTCACCGCCCCCACCCACACCCTACTACCACTACCGTTTTTTAAAAATGAAAACCGATAGAAAAATAGACATCTAAACACGTTCTCTAATTTTCTAAAACTGAAAATGGAAAATGAATAAGTTTAACTAAACGCGTTCTCTAAATTTTTCAATGAAAAATGAAAACGGAAAATGAAAATTGAAAAGGGAAAACAAAAAACGAAAAATGAAAATTATTTTTCCGTAACTAAACGCAACCTTAATATCGGGTTTTGAACACTATTAAAAGTCACTAACCTTACGGTCTTCTCTAATTATAGTGTCATGGTGCTATTAGGCTGCAAACTACTCATGTTGCCCATTGCGACCCGTTTTCATTATAAAAAGCCCATTGGGTCCACTTCTTTTTTGCTATAATAAGCTTTAAACGTTTTTTTTTTTTTTTTTTTGACAATTGTTTAAAATATAATCGTCAATTTTTTTCATAAGCTAAATCTAATATAGTAGTTCTGAGGAGCAACATTGTAATTTACTCTAAACACAAAGAGTTGACGGTGGAACCTAACTAGCATGGACTTGGCACTGTGGAGGCCTTTCTGTCCAACTAGAAATCTAACATGACATGATAATAATAGTAGATCTTATTTTTAACTTAATTAATTTATAATTTATATAGATCGTGTTTAATACACGACAATCTTCTACCCATAAAGCTATTGTTTTACCACAAATTGATACAAAACATAAAGCAACACCAAATTTTCTCCAACCCATTTTGCAAAAATAATTCTTAAAACATTTTGCAAACATAGAAATAATTATATAACTTTTATAGTTTTCAAAAATAAGTCTTTTGAATTATATTATTAGACAATTAAAAAAAAAGAGCATGCTAGGTATATTTTTTTATATAACTTTTATAGTTTTCAAAAATAATTCTTAAAACATTTTGCAAACATAGAGTCGTATACTTTTATTAAAAAACTTTTGAATTATATTATTAGACAATTAAAAAAAAATCTAAATTATTCATTTAGAA